CCTTAGACACATATATAAGGGGGTGAAAGAAAATGACAAATAAAGCAAGGAACAGAAAGAACGGCGGAAAATCCTAGAACACGCCAGGACCCAGAAAGGGTTGTCAAGGTATTGATGATGATACTGATGATTAATTCATAGCTTTGTTCGCGGACACAATACATGTTTGGTTTCTAACTGATTCGCATGCGCAGTTGCGTTTTCAGTGTTCGTGGAGTTGAAAATCTGGACCTTTCCATTCTTTTCAAAAATGTGACATTTCCGGTTACGGCTCGAGGTTAGAAACTTTGGACTGTTTTGCGGTTAGAAACAGTCAGAAACGTCCAAAATGGTTCGTGGAGAACTTAAGTTGGAAACTAATAATTAACCGCGCCAGCGTACAACAATAATTCCTAACTGGTCCAAAACTTGTCGAAAACTAGTCAGGGACTCTCTCCGCGAACAAAAGTAATATTCTTAACACTGTCTTACCATTCTTTTTCTTTATGCTTTTTGGAGATTTGGTTGGGATCCATGTTCCGGCAATCACTACCATATGAAGAACTATCATCAGTTGGGTATACACTATCTATTGTTATAGCTCCTACACTACCTAAAGATTGAGTTCTCACTAATTGACCATTATCTTGAGATCTGCGGCTAAGTATCTACAATCGTAAAAGATAAGTTAAAATACATAAAATTAAATAAACCCGAATAAAAAAATTTGAAGACCACAGGAAAATAACATGAGTCATATTTTTGGTTTTGTTTAGGACAACATTTTTGAAGTTTAAAACTCTGTGAATATGTTAAAATACATTTTACAATTAATCAGCAATAAAAAGAATAAAATTTGCTATATTGGTTGTTGGCTAACGTTTCAGTTTTTTTTTAATGTATATCGCATAGTACTGTTATTAATTGTCTTTTATTTGTTTACATTTATTTAACAAGTTTCTCCCCTGTAAACGACTTTCACGTTTTTCCGTATAAAATAATTGCTGTCTATTTTTTGTAAATAATAAAACACAGAAATAGAGCAAAACTATGTCATAAAAAACAGTTTACAATATAATTCCAGTTTTCCAGTTATTGACAATACCCTGTATTCTTTTTTTACCATATGGTTTTATTGTACCTATACATAAAATCCAATCGTTTGATACCTTATACAACACGATCCAATAAAAATACACCACTGTGCCTTTTTGACACGATGAAATGTTTGTTTTAAGGCTTATCCTCGAAAATTGTAACGGTAAAATTCAGAGAGATATCTATTTCAAAAATATCTTTCTTTACGAAAACAAAATCCATTCACTAAGAATATTCTAAACGTCATCGTGTACTAGAGGTTAGCTTTATACCTACCTTATACAACCCCTATTGTGTAAAGTCTTGGGTCTATACAATAAACGAACGGGTGGCCTTCTATTCAGTGCGGTTTTAAAATAATGTTGAATAAAAACATTCATGAAATTAAAATGAAAGGATTTACGTCTATTAGTAGAAGTGCGATTTATAAAATTAGTACTTGAAGCCCAAATAGCGGGAGGAATATGTACATCAATTTTCAAATATTTATTATTTACTATATAATTTCTAAATTGAACCACTTTCACTTATTTAGGTAACAATGTATCTGTTTTGACAACTAAATAGGTAATTAGACAAAATAATGAGTATTATTAATTTCAAAACAGTTTAAAGAGTTAAAACGAGTTTAAAGAATTAGAAGGAGGTATCCTGGGCCCAGTTAAATGGTCAAGCTTATTCCAGTGGAAGCAATAAAGAGGATTATTTTTCGTTTTGGCACAGCTGACATGCTCTCTCTAGCACTACAACCCATGAAACTGTGGTAAAAAACATGCTTTATTTATACGGTTCTGAAACACGACGATTAACAGAGACATCGAAGAAAGATATCTCGTCGAACTTAATGCAATAAAGTATGAGAATAGAAAGTACAGTCATGGATGGCAAACAACGAAAGCAGCTCAATGGGTACAGGTCCAATAAATGAAAACAAGTACCTGTATGAACCCCTACCGGAATCCAGAAGAGAGGATTACCTTAGAAAACACGGATGGTAACAATAAGAAACTTAATGAGCTCGAAGGAACTTAAAGAAAATGGAACAACCGAATTGAATAAAAAATGGACATCGGAAGACATTTTATAGGGATTATATCATATTATAGGTATAAGAATGCTTTGATGTTATATTTTTTTTTACCCTTTTATATGGGATTAAAGCTTGATCACTTAAAAAATCCAAACATTAAAAACCTAGAAGCATTCGAAATGTGGTGTTACCACATTTCGAATGCTTCTAGTTAAATGTGGTATTTTGAAAATATCATGGATGGATCGCAAAACAAACGAACAAAATCTCGAACAACTAGAAAAACAATGCGAAGTTTTAAATTCCATAAAAATCAGGAAATTGGAATACTTGGGGCATATCATAACTAATAATAACCAGAAAATTAACCGGCCCCAAAAGAAGAATTAAAACCAGATCAAGGTGGATTAGTAAAGCGGAGGAAGACCTTAAACACGTGAAGGTGAGGGACTGGAAAATAAAAGCACAAAATAGAAGCGAATGGAAAATTTTTGTACACCAGGTCCTTCAGAGTACTTAAGAATGTTTATATTATACATATTTAAGTTATAGTTTTGTTTAAAATAATTGTAATTAGTTAATATTAGAATTATGTTGTAAAAAAAATGCCCTAGGCCTTAACGGCCTGTTGTGCGTAAAATAAATAAATAAATAATAGAGTGCAAAAATCGAAAGGATCGCGTTTTTTGCATTAAATTGTTAATCATTAAAAAACGGCTCCGAACTTTACGCAGGAAACAGGTAGGTTTTCTTCTTATAGATCTACAATAACTAAAAACGTTGTCAGCTACCTGGGTTATTGAGTGTCACGAGAAAATCCTTATAATCCTGGACTAATATGGCTGGACACGCAATTGAAGAAACAAACTTCATATATTATGTAAACTTTACTAACAAAAACGTTCAAAATAAATATTCCTATAGATATAAATAATCAAATTCCATATTCAAATACAGCAAAATGTTTTCGTATTGTCCAATAAATATAAATAATCAAATTCCGTATTCAAATACTGCAAAATATTTGAGTATTACTCTAAGCTTTTATGTAAAGAAGAAAAGAAAATAATAATTCTGATTGAAATACAAAAAAATGTACTGGCTGATTGAACAAAATTTCTACGCTGTTTTCTACATAATAAATTATTATTATTATTATAAGCAAATACTGAAAACGATCAAAAAATCAATAGAAGGTGCAAATATGCAGATAGGTAAAAGTCAGGCTAAAACAAGAAAACGAATGGAATAACCAAGAATGTAGAGAAATAACAGAAAAAAAAGTGCAAGCCAGAAATAAATGGCTAAGAACAGATAAAGAGGAAGACAGAGAAGAATATGAAAAATTAAGAAGGTATGCTAAGAAAGTGATAAGGCAAAATAAAAGAAGATGGGTAGACAAAAAAATGCAGGAAATAGAGCAGGAAAGAACAAACAGAAATACGAAAAGTTTTTACAAAAAGATTAAAGAACAAAACAAAACATACAAGGGCAAAACAAACGGAATAAAAAATAGAGAGGGAATAGTGATAATAGAGGACCAAGAATACAAGCAAGTATGGAGAGATTACTACCGAGAGCTCTTGACGGAGGAAACAACAGAAGAAGAAATGCATGACGAGGAGGAAACAGTACACGAAGAAGAAGCAAATGAAGTAGACATCGAAATTTCAAAAGAACCAACATTAGAGGAATTGGATGAAGTAATACAGAGAAGCAAAAATGGAAAAGCCCCAGGTAAAGATGGAATTAATATGGAACTAATAAAATACGGGGGAAGGGAACTAAGAGGAAAAATACTGGCACTATTGAAAAATATATGGAAAGAAGAGAAAATGCCAGGTGACTGGGAGGTAGGACAGATCATAACAGTACATAAAAAGGGAGACCAACAAATCTGTGAAAATTATAGAGGAATAACATTACTAAATACAACATATAAAATATTGACATCAATAATAAAAAAAGAGGTTATCAAAGATCACAAAGAAGACAGTAGGACAGTACCAATGTGGATTCACAGAAGGAAGATCTACAATAGATGCAATACACACAATAAAACAAATAATGGAAAAAGCAAACGAGTATAAATTAGAATTGGAAATGTTATTCATAGACTTCAAACAGGCATTTGATTCAATTAAAAGGAACGTATTAATGACAGCACTTAAAAAATTAAAAATTCCACATAAACTCAGAAAATTAATAGAAATGACAATGAGAACTACAAAAATAAGCATAAAGACACAAAGAGGAGAGACAGAGGAATTCAGTATAAATAAAGGGATGAAACAAGGAGATGCCTTATCAACAACGCTATTTAATCTAGCATTAGAATATGTACTGCGAAATATAAATAAAGGAAATCTCAGAACAAGAGGTGGTCAAATAATTGCATATGCAGATGATATTGCTATTATTGCAAAGAACAGAAAAATAATGAAAGAAATGCTTGAAGAAATAAGAGAGAAAGGGGAGGTAATGGGGCTAAGATTAAATCAAGAAAAGACAAAAATATTAAGATTAGGGAAAAAACCAATGAAGGAAAAAATCAAAATAGCAAGTTCCGAGTTTGAAGAAGTAGAATACTCCAAATACTAGGAGTTACAATAAGTAAATCCGGAGAAAGGAAATCCGAAATAAAAGAAAAAATATTAGCAGCGAATAAAGCTTATTTTGCAAACAAAAGATTACTTAAAAGCAAAACACTGACTAAAAAAAGCAAGATGAGCATTTATAACACCATAATTAGACCAATATTATTATATGCAGGGGAAACAATGACGATGGTTAAAAAAGATGAAGAAGACTTAAGAATTGCAGAGAGAAAGATCATGAGAACCATACTAGGACCAATCAGAACAGAGCAAAATGAATATAGAAGCAGAACAAATGCAGAAATTAAGGAAGAACTTAAGGAAGACATTGTAACTAAAATAAAGCAATGCACAGTTAGATGGTTAGGTCACATTTGGCGAGCAGGCGATGAGGCAGTGACATACGCAATGATAGAATGGAATCCAGGAGGAAGAAAGAGAAGGGGAAGACCGAGATCAAAATGGCTGCAAGAAGTTGAAGAAGACCTTCAAAGGGCAGGAGTCAGTGAATGGAGAGGAAGAACTAGAGACAGGAAAAAAATGGAGAGATATTGTCAAGAAGATAAGATAAACAAAAAAAAGACTGATCCACTTAAGAAATAGGATCTAGAAAGCATTTGCGGTTTAACCCCACGTTGGGGTGTATAGCCATTATATATATATATATATATTATATATATATATATATATATATATATATATATATATATTATATATATATATATATATATATATATATATATATATATATTATATATATAAATACTGAAACAATAGTATTATTATAAAAACAGTATAAACATTTAGAAGGAAAATATCATAATATCAACAGAAAATATTTTTATTCATATCAAAATTTAATCAAATTATAGGTACTTATATAAAAAAAAATCCTGCTTATACTGCTAATTTATATAAAATTTCCTCAATCGGAACAAAAACGTCTTCGTGAACTACCTATTTTAAAAAACAATTAACACACTGGTTTGTCAAAAGTCGAAAATAAACCCTAATAATGTTATTCAACATTATTTATGACCCACCTTCGAGAGGGTATTATACTTCTTACCTAACCAACCTAACCGTCGGCGAGAATCCAGAAACTATCGACAAGGACAGCCTGTACTGGCCGAGAGAGGAAAGTTACATTTAGCAAAATTTGAGATTTTTAAAAAAGTTTATACCAAATAGCTGCTTTGTGTTACACTTTATGTTAAAAATAAAAACAGATTCGGAAAGTGGGTCAAATTCTGTAGTGCCCTATTTCAAAAAAAAAAGTACTTTTATTTTAACCAAAAATATTTGAAAAAAAAATTGTTTAAACAATTTATTAATTTACAACCAAATAGTGCACTAGAACTTTTTAAGACTTTCCATATAAAAAAGAATCATCTCAATATCTGCCATAGTTTTTGCGTTATTTGATATAAACTTTTACATTGGAACTTAGCTATGCCCAGAAACGCAACGAACGGCCTTAATAATCTCCTTCCCCCGCCATTTCCATCAATAACTCATACCTCATGATCGGCCAAAACGTTTCCAAGCTGTACGACTTTGCGACCGATTTGCTATTTTGGCCCTTCTAAATATTTGCTATTTTAGCCCTAAATAGATTACATTACTTCGTAATTCTCAGATAATACCACTTTGTTAAAAGTTTAAGTTCATTATGACAACTTTTTACTTTAATGACACTAAGAAATTCTTTCGTTTTTACTTAGTTGCATTCATTTAGTTATTTCTACGAATTTTTCGCTGTTTGTCCATTCTTCACAAGTTTTCCACATTACTCAGTTTGTGTATTGTTTGTTACTGTTTGTGTTTGTGTATTTGACGTTCCGGTTTCTAGATCTAATAATTTAATTACCTGTGAATTTTTTACAGAAGCACTTCTAACTTGTCCTTGATAATTAGAAACAGTAGATAAAGTAGCTGATTTATTCTCCATATTTGGTGATATACGACTGGAAACTCTTTTGGTTTTTCTCCTATCTAAGCTACCAAATCTAAAAATAAAAATTATTGATAAAATGCGTTAAGTCTGTTTTAGACTATAACATAAAATGATATAAGAAAATGGTTATAACAAGAACTTACATGAAATGATTGTGTACAATATTAATATAAGAAGTTTTGTGTATTACATTGTCACATTTTGGTATCAAAATATGTTATGTGATTCTGCGCATTACGTGCTAAAACAGTCCTTTTTTTAAAATTATTATGTTGTTGTACATGTACTGTTGACCTCAATGTTCTTAGTCTTCTTTTTATTATTGTAACGTAACCAGCGTAACCTCATTTTCTCCAACATTTAACCTAGTTTTTTACCCACGTAAATACCTAATTAGTTTTTACCCTCGTTTTGCTTTTGCTTTAACAAAGACATATATATATATATATATATATATATTATATATATATATATATATATATATATATATATATATATGATGGATAAGAAAAATTCTCCTATTATCTGCCTGATTCCATTACATTTCTTTTAATTCAGGCAAGCAAGAAAAAAGGCCAACGAAATATTTGGCCTAGAGCTTGGCTTCAAAAAAGACAGGAAGGTCGTGTTGTTTTAAGTATGTTGTAAACTAAATTAAAAGACAATGATTCTGAAAAATATAGACAATTTTTAAGAATGTGTAAGCCACAATTTAATGAACTTCTTGAACTGATTCGAGAAGATATTACCAAATAGGATACAAAATTGAAACTGCGCATGCGTGTATACTAATAATTGGTATCAAAATAGGACATGTTCTAATTTCTATAACATTTTTTGTTAACAGATTTTGTTTTCTGTTTTACATTATGACAAAACTTAGTATAACATTTTCTTGTATCATTTTATGTTATAGTCTAAAACAGACTTTAGGTTGACATCTTCTGGAGATGTTACTGCTTCGCTTGTAAGCTGAAACTGACGCCGCGTTGTACTACGGAGGCCATATATTTATATTTTTTACTCCCCTCCCCTCCACTGGTTTCGGCGCGAGGAGACGTGTCGTCGTTTGTAGCGTGTTTTGCGGGAAGGATGTTTGTGGATTGTGGGATACCAATAGTAAAATCCACAATACAGTAGATAGTAGTAGATAGATAGAAAGCAGTAACATCTCCAGAAGATGCCAACCCCTAGTGTTGGCGAAACGTCGAGAACTAATCTCAGAAGACAACGGCCTAAAAACCCGAACAAAGAGTTTAGAATAAATTATCTATTATATAAGGTGATGAAATGAAAATTGGTGTAACTTTTTTGTATAAATGTAGTTAAGTACATATTCATATTCTACCTGTTCCAAATCATTACTTGGAATAGTGGTGTTAGTTTTAACTCCTCTAACTAGCTCATAGATACCAACACAAATCGTGATTGTCAAACATAACCTCTGATTTTTCGGTGACAGTAGTGGCGCAAGTCAGACGTACACCATTTTTGCTGTGTTCAAGTTGTGTTGTTTATAGTGAAAAAAAATTGAGAGTCTATAAAATGAAAATGGGAGTCAATGGCAAGAAATTTCAATCATCAATCATTGTCATACAAATAAATGTGCTTTTTATGGAACAAAGTTTTCAGCAATGACACTATATAGCCATCTAAACTGGAAGCTCATCTGAGAATATGTCACCCTGATAAAACAGATAAAGATTTGAAATATTGTCAAACACTTAGAGAAAAACTTCAGAAAATATCCACGCTGGACAAAATATTCGCTTGATGATTTTCGAGCGTCTTACAATATCTCGTTGCTTATAGCAAAATCCGGAAAACCGCATACTATCGTAGAACAGTTAATTTTGCCACCAGCCGTTGATGAAGTTTTAAAAACTGTTCTACACAACCCTGCATCAGATATCATTAAAACAATTTCTTTAAGGAACAACACAGTTTAAAGACGTATTGATGAAATAAGTTATGGTGTTGAAAGCTTCTTGTGTAATTATTTGCAAATGATCCATTTCTCTATACTGGATGACACAATTTTACCTTTTAATGAAGCATTATTATTGGCAAATCGTTTTAATATGGATCAAAATATTCACGGAGGATTGCTATTTGCGAGAACTTTGACAACCGGTACTAAAGACGAATCAATGTTATGTTTTGAAGGCTTACTTCTTGGAAAAAGCAAATCGTATATCAAATATTATATCGGTAGCTACAGATGGAGCACCTGCCATGGTTGGGCGGTATCGTGTCGTGGTTGTATAAATTTAAAAAAAAATGTACCCAGAGTATTTAGATACATAATCTAAATTTAGTTAGAATCTAAAATTGAAAAACATGACAATGGGTCTATGAGTGAAAAAAGTTTGGGAACCTCTACTCTAGAGTTTAGAATTGGAAAGCTGTGTAAAAAAATTAATATATTTTATGTATTTTAAGGACAGTACAAATTTTACACTTTTCTAAATTAAAACTATGTATTAAATTTTCTATATGAAACATTCAGTTTCTACTTATAAAAGTCTACCTAAGAAACTTTCAAAACCTTTAAACGAAAAGCAGTGTAAGTTATACCTTGAAAACTATCCTTGGACAATTTGTTTTACCAAAACGTTGTTGGAGTTACACAGATTCTGTTTGAACTACCCAGATTTAACATGTTCAATCTCTCAAAATAATTAGGTGACTTGCGCCACTTTTCCTTTCACCGCCTCATACTATATCAATCTATAAAGTCCGAAAAACTGTTAAGAACTTACCTTTTATCTCTTTGCCATGTGCCATCCACAACTGAAGAAGAGTACCAGATCAACTCACCGGTTTGGGTTTTTTTCCAATAACCACCCAATCCGGCTGCCATAACATTCATCTGCTCATATTGCTGATGTGGCTGTATTTGGTGAGGATTCCGATACAAAACATCACTCTCGTATTGCCTATAATTTTGTCTCGTAAGTGTAGGGTGGGATGGATAATAATGAGATTTAGGAGAGAGCGACGTTGTTGGACTAGATTGTCTATGAGCTAAATCGGTAAATTCTGAAGAATACGGTGGGTACTGGGATAACTTCTGTGGACTGTGCTGAGGTTTATGCTGGGAAATATGAACAAAATGGGGGCTATGTTGAGACAAGTGAGGACTGTGCTGGGACAAAAGCGGATTATGCGGAGAAATTGGACTATTTTGTTGATATGGGAAACTATGTTGCATATGTTGATTTAATGACATTTGCGAGTTATATTGAAACTGTTGAGGTCCAGTAATATACCCAGCTGGATATACATTGTTGATGTTTTCTCGCCTGAAAAATATCTACGTACAGTTATGTTCATGTATAATTATAAACTTATGTGATCTCGGCTCAATAATATTTTTAATTGTTTTTCTGGAAAATCTTTTAAGCCCGTATTTTTTATATAAAACTCTTAATCCAAAATTTTTAAAAATTAGTTGCTTCGATTTGTAAGAACTCAGTAGCCAACAAGTTTAACTAGATATATTAGATATTTTGACTAGATAAACAATATTGTTAAAAAACAAAACTATTGAGCTTTTTAATCACTTAGTTTAGTAAACAAACCTTTCCATGTACTTGTTATATCCATTTAGGCTCAATCTATAAAAGCCGCCATTCAATACATCATCTGGTTTATTCGCCTGATTTGCAAGATATGGTAACTCCGTAATTCTGTATTGCCTTGAAGGTTCTTGTCGATACCTGAGTTCTACTGCACTGTCTCCTGTTATACTGTGCTTTGCTGAACTCATACTATGACGGGGGTCAGTCTTTAGGAAAGGATCGCTTCCATTTGTATTAAGTGAAATTGTGTCATCCGCTAAAAATGCAATATTTAATTAATATTTTCACGGTAATTTAAAACGCACGGATAGATTTATATCTACTTTTTTTCCTCCAGTCATAAACTCCTATTTGTCCGAGATCTTGTCCGGAGATTGGGCACAGTTTTAGCACCATTTTTAGTATCCTCTCATAAAATTCTAGCTCTTTATCTGTTGTGTTACCCGACCTTCCACCGTGTATTTGCCACCATATATAGCTGAGTATGTTCCTTTTCGGCCTTTTCTTCGATATACACAATGAGCTCACGAGTTTTATACATTGTATTCCCTTTGATCTTATTATATATCTGCTTAAAATGTATGAACAATGAATGGAGGAATGGAGCATATACTGATTCGCTTCAGTCCGAAGCCCTTAGTGTTGCACACTGCAAGATTGCAAAAATATCTACCTAAAACACAGAGGTATATTCTCCTAGTGGAATAAAAATGTTATTTTCCCTACTACTTAATATTCCTGCGCCCGACACTTCTGCAATTTTAGGTCCGTCTGTGTATAAGGTTTGTGTGTTGGTCGAGCGTTACCTCTGCCATTCCTCTCGAGGGCCGATGTCCACCCAGGAAAAAAACTTTGGGCCTATATTCTTAGTATTTTTACTGTCCTTCTCTGTTACTATATTATCTTCTATAAAGAGATTTTCGTTATTCTGTAGTTAGCGTTCCGCCTTCTTTTTGGAAGCATAACTTTCTTATTGCGGGATATAGACGAGGGTAATCGCACAGAAGTATGAATAAAATAAAATCCGACAGTAAAGACAGTTCACGCGACACACACTACGTGGAGTAGTAAAAGCAGTCGTGTCTATTAATAAAATAAATAAAATAAAAATAAAACAAAATAAAATCGAATCGAACCAAATAACAAATTAAAAACCATCGCTCTGTGCGTAGACGATAAAAAAGCTATGCTTCCCATTCTCGGACATTCCCGGAGGGCCCATCCCATTTTTCAATTGTTTTGAACTTATTTGTAGAAGGAACATACGTCTTCAGAGATTTTTCTTCTATTCATTCATATTTCTTCTAGTACTTTTTCCTTGTATCCCTTTTCCTTTCGTCTACTTATCCACATTATTGTTGTTGGTTAGTGTCAATTGTGTTATTCTATTATTTTCTTAAGCTATTTATGGAATTCGTCATCGAACCAGTTCTTCTCTATTTCATTTTAGTACTTTTGTGGAATGACTTTATCACTTGCCATCACTGCTAATATTTTCCATATTTTAAATTAGTCCGCGAAAGAAAACAAAACAGTGGTAATCAAAATTACTCAGTAACTTAAAATTGAATTTATGTAACTGGCATGTGGAGATAATCGGTTATTATTTAGAAATTTACATAAGAGAGTTCATAATCGTAAAAAAATTTGTAATGTTAAGAAAGTTGATATTTCGAAACCCCAAGAAACTTGGAAACACGCATGCTCGAAAAAAAAAATGAATCCTAAAAACATTAGCTATTTTAATTTCATACTGAATCCAATATAAAGTATTGAAACGACTGTTAGAAGGAAAACAATAAATACTCCAACTATTTTACTAATGTTAAATCTAGTTTGACTGTCTTGCTATTATAACGCACTGAAGAGAACTAAATGCTTTCAGCAATGTCTGATTTCATCGTTTCGTTTGTAAATGGACCACAGAAGTGATGACGTAGATTTTATTGACATCTGTCAGTTTCACTTTCCAAACAAACCTTGTTTAGTGTGGATAATTTGTATTTTTCGTTACTTTTTCGTTTTTTTTAGAATCTTTCCGCTTTTTGCAATATTTAAGTATTCTAATAGTTACTACAACAATTTTTCAAGGTTGTGTAAATAATAAAGCACATTGTTTTATGCTATTCAATAAAATGCATGTATCAATAAAGTAAGGTTAGAATTTCATTAATTTAAACTTTTAAACTATATTTCATAGAAATAGAACTCTGAATTGTGATGGTATTATCGTAAAAAACATTAACCTACAAGAAAAAGCAGCAGATGAAGCAAAATGTTAAATTAAAAAGTCTTGAGATTTGACATTTCAACTTTTGTTTGGAAAGTAATAATGACAATGTGACAGTCGTGACGTCACACTCCTGCTGTCCATTGACGTCACAAAATGAATGCGTCAGATTGATTCAGATTTTGAACTTAGTCTACTCTTCATAAAAAATTTGACGAAAAACATAAAGAAAAAAAAAATCTAAGTTTTAGAGATTATTTAATACACAGTATTAATATAACAATCTTACCATTGCTAACATTGTCAGGGGCTCTTAGCTTTTTCTTTTGTTTCTGTTGTTCTACAGCAGCCTTTTCCTTCAACGCTGCCAGTTTTTCTTGTAATTCTAAACCTTTTTGTTTATGTTTCTGATACTCAGATCGATGTTGCCTCTTCATAGTCTGTGAACATCATTTAATACGCGCATTAATCATTAAAATAGTTTATTTACCCCAAATAATTACACCTTTTAGACCCACTTATGAAAAAGATTCCGTCTATAGTGAAATTCAAACTGAGAGTGCAGTACGGCTAAGATAGGGTAACGCTTTTCTTATGGAGAATAAACGAACAGGAGCCTTTGCACCTGTTGATTGCACACGCAACAGCGTCGTACAGGACCGCCTTAAATAAATCCCGGCAGAACGAGTATAACTCATATAATGTATAAAGTAGAATAAAAGCATAGTAAAAGTTCTAAATTGAATATTCAACCTAATGTATAAATAGCTTGGAAAGTAATATCTTTTTTTTTCGAATGTTTTGTACTTCAAATGGCAAATCTTTTGTACAAAGCTCAAATAGTTTCTAGAGGTACATTTGGAATTAGACAAAAGTTGTGAAAAATTAACATGTTAATTTCTTAAAGAAAGACAAAATGCATGGTTATAAAAGCAAATTTACTTTAAGATGTTAATTGAAGCTGGAAGGGCAGATAATAGAACAAGTGATGAAGTTTAAATATCTAGGGAACATATTATCTAGCTACGGAAAGCTCGAAACTGAAGTGGAAGATCAAGTGAATAGAGCAAACACACCCGCAGATTGCCTAAATGAAACATTATGGAGAAATAAAAATATCGGGACATAAATAAACAGTCATCAGACGAATAATGGCATACGCGGCAGAAACATAACCTGACACAAAGAGGACAAAAAGGATGTTAGAAACAGCAGACATGAAAACACTTTTTGTGGTAAGACACTATGGGACAGAGCTAGAAGTACAGATATACGACGTAGATGCAAGGTGGAGAACATCAACAACTGGGTAAGAAATAGAATGGAACGATCATATCAGCCGAATGACAACAAATAGAGAGACGATTCCTCAATATGAAGACGATCAGTAGGAAGACCACGAAAACGATGGAAGGATTATAGGAACTTACTGGAGGCACATTTAAAAACATGAGTCATGTCTACATAAAAAGAAGATAGTTTTTCCATAATCGATCTAAGAATTCCCGGAGATCCCAAACTGTATAGCTATCAATAAGTGTAATTTAAATACATTTGTTAGTTTAATAAATTATACAATTTTAAAATAAACTGCTTGCTAAAAATTTAAGTCTTTTTATTAAAATTCATGCTTCTTGACTACTATGTATTTTAATAATATATATATATATATATATATTATACAGTATAGGTAAAAGTTTATGGTCGGTATGGTAAAAATTTAACAGGATATCTAACGCAGATATAAAATCATATTTTCAGCGAATAGACAAAGATAACAATTATATTTCCCCTTGGTCTCCCCTCCACAAATATTTTTAACACCTATTGGCCATTAATGAGACGAATAGTTCCGAATCAGAGATATTTTACATATTCTCTGGTTCCTATCCTAATATACCTAAAAAACTAGAGGTGGGTCCTCCCGTTTTTTAAATTTTTATCGGAACCGTTTTTCGTAAACTGTAACTAGTTGATTCAAATTAGCGAGTACACAAACATATTGGCTATTATCGTTTATGTGTATAAGTGTTGAAGTGAAAGAACCTAACGAAGGATATATTTATTATAACTTGAAAAATAAATTAAACAATACAAATAGTACTTACATTTACATTAAATCGTACTTACATTTACATTACACGTTATTATTAAATCGCGAATCGTCTAAATTGACATTTAAAAATAAGTTTTTCTACTTTTCTTGTTAACCGTGTTCTTCTTTTATTTAAAATTAAATCAGATTTTAAACATGTGTTCACAAGGAAAAGATTTTGTTACAATTCTACAATATTTTATGAATATAGTGGCTAAGTTAGAATATACATGGCGATGGTTTTTCCACCACGGTAATGGACAGTTCCAATCTCCGTTCGAAATTTATTGTGGGTAATATATTATCAGACAAATACATGTCGACTTCTTGTATATCTCTCGATACAGTTGTATGTTTAGATGAGTCATGTCCAATTAATTCATCAAAAATACACAATGGACTTAAGTCATCTTTATCAATTTCTTTTTCTTGACTAAACTTATTGATTTACTAAACTTATGCAAAGACCCGTTTCATCCGTTTTCTATAGGTGAAGAACCAGCTTTTAAAAAGTTTGCAGGGTGGATTCCTGGATATAAACCGCCAACAAGAAAAACTGTTAGATTCATTACTTCAGGAATGTTATGTCAAAACTGATTTGATAATAGATAAAATAAAAAGTCCTTTTTTTCGACAATTCTGCAAAAAACATTAAAAAAAAGTACCGTATCTTCAGAAAGGCTTTTAAGTATTAATTACAACATAACAAAGTTCCCAAACGGCCAATCCAAGACGTGGAAACTAGGTAGAACTTCACCTATTACAGGTTAAAAAAGAAGACTGAGTTAGAAGAGGGTCAAGACCGTTTCACTTCTTCTTCTTTAAGTTCCATCTTCTATCGAGGGTTGGAAATCATCATGGCTATGCCGACTCTGTTGACTGCCGCTCTAAAAAGGTCTGCACTACTGCATTCAAACCATTCTCTTAAGTTCTTAAGCCAGATATTCTTCGTCTTCCCACATTTCGCTTTTCTCGGATTTTGCCCTGCATAATAAGTTGTAATAATGCGTATTTTTGCCCTCTCATCACATGTCCCAAGTACTCAAGTTTTCGTCTTTTAATAGTTAATATTATTTCCTGCCTCATTTCCTATCCTTCTAGTTACTTCAATGTTTGACATTTTTTGAATCCATGATATTCGTAGGATTCTTCTGTAACACCAAAATTCAAAGGCGGCCAACTTATTCAGATGAACTTGTTTTAGTGTCCAAGCTTTCAGACCATAAAGAACAGTAGAGAACACGTAACATCGAAGCATTCTCAGGCGTAGTTCTAACCTTATATCCCGACAACAAAGAAACTTTTTAAGTTTAATAAATAATGTACGTGCTATTTCAATACGTGTCTTAATTTATTTGGTTTGGTCTACATCTGATGTTATCCATGTTCCTAAGTATTTATAGTTATTAACACTCTTAATTGCAGTATCTTCAATAGTCAATTGGATATTTGAGCAGATTTAGTCATGATCATGCATTTAGTTTTCTTTAAATTTATCTTCAGTCCGTACTCATGACAGCGTTCATTAAGGCGTTGCATTAGGTTCTGTAAATCATTGTTGTTATCCGTAATTATTACTGTATCGTCTGCAAAACGTAAGTTATTCAAAACTTCTCCATTGATAGATATACCTTCTATTGAGTCTGAGAGCGCTTCTTAAAATACCGATCACTGTAGACATTGAAAAGTAGTGGGGACAGCACGCAACCCTGGCGGACTCCTCTCTGTATTTTGATATTTTCGGTGTACTGGCGTGTATTTCCGTTCCACATCGGTATTAAATAATACAGACTTAGACTTAGACCAAATCTAAATAAAAAACACTGGATTATTTGTTCTCAGCTTTCCCAAATTTTACGGCCGTTTTAAAGAAATAACAAGTACAATGAGTGACCAAAAATACTTGAAGGGTAGTTCAGTGATTGTTATGGTACGCGGCCTGCAAGAATCTTGCAAGAAAATTTTAGCAAACGGTAACCTTACATCCATAGTATACGACGTTGTACAATTACTAAGTATCGGGTTTAACAAAAATATTTAAAGGGATAGAACAGAGTGGCATATTGTCATTATGTACATTTATGGATTCACCATTTAAAGTGCAGTGGTATTTCTGATAAAAATGAAGATAAAAAATAAAAGAAAAAGTTAAGAAGCTGGTATACTTCCATAATTAACGAACAAGAAGATTGTACTATTGAAAATCAACCAGTACAAGAAAAAGAAACCAATAAAGATGACTTAAATCCATGGTGTATATTTGATCAATTAATTGGAGATGGCTCATCTACAGGTACACCTGTATCGAGAGTCCATTACAACGGTGGAAAAACCATCGCCATGTTATATCCTAAACTTAACCCCTATATTCATACAGTATTCTAAATGTGAACACATGTTCAAAATCTGGTTTAATTTGAAATAAAAAAAGAAGACGGTTAATAAGAAGTAGTATAGTAGAAAAACTTATGTTTTTTAATGTCAATTTAGACTATTCGCGATTTAATAATAACGTGTAATGTAAATGTAAGTACGATTTACTATTTGTATTGTTTAGTTTATTTTTCAAGTTATAATAAATATATCATTAGTTTCTTTTCACTTCAATAAATATACACATAAACGATAATAGCCATTATGTTTGTTTATGTAGGTACTCTCTTACTTGAAACTACTTTTAAACAATCATAGTTACTTGTTTACAAAAATTTAAATTTTTAAATTCATCCATTTTTTTGGAATCCTGAGAAAACTAACAAATATTTTTGAAAAATTTAAATGCAGAATAAAAGATTACATTATTACCGAGGGCCGAAAGTCCCTTAGAATAAACAAAAAGTTTTTTGAATGAGATATTTGAAATTAAAAATCACACTAATTTTTTTTTCTCCCTTATAACATATATATAAAATAAACATTATAGAAGTTTTCAGGGACTTTTGGCCCTCGGTAATAATGTATTGGTTCATTCTGCGTTTAAATTTTTCAAGAATATTTATTAGTTTTATCAGGATTAAAAAAAATGAATGCATTTAAAAAATTATTAATCCGAAATTTTATGCCTACGCTCTTAACGATAAAATTACCACGACCCACCTCTACTACCCGTTACTCGGTGTTCTGACCAGACGGACGACGTTGCCAAATAAATTATTGTGTATGAATATTTTTTAATGTGGTGTTATTGTATGCAGTTTATTATTTCATATTGGGAATAAGGCACAATGTGACTTTAAAATAAGCTTATTTTGATGTTAAGATTTTTAATTCGGAAATCGTACTTAAAATACGAAACATTAATAAATTTTATTTATATAAAACGATTTCCAAAGTGGAAATCAAAACGTTATATTACACTTATTGTAAAATAAACTTGTAGCATATTCCCAATAAAAAAAACAGTAAGCTGCCATTTAAATCAATTTCGCCCAAATTGGATTATCTTAGAACATTGTTCAAATGCAAAAAAAAACAAAAGGTCAAATAAATCCAATAAGTTTGGCAACGTTGAACTTCCCCTTTCCAGGCATGCATGTTTGGCGATATAAAGGGCGGACCTAATATACCTCTCTCTTTCTAAACAGCTGTTTCTCTCCATCTCACGTAAGGTCCATACCGACCATAAAATTTTTCCTACACTGTATATATATATATATATATATATATATATCTGCCTCTCCATTTTTTTTTCTAATTCGCAATTTAAATTAAAATCAAAAAAGGTAGTTTTACTCGTAATAGAGCCCCGCCAAAGATCTTTGTACGATCCTGTACGTGACCATTACTTTGACCTGTTTGTGCTGCTAAGCACATGGCGTGAAATCCGGCAAATGTGCATTCCTATCTTAACCGTACCGTACTCTTTCTAACAATACTTCTGAAATACCTAACCTATTGGCACTTCATTTTTCTTCTGTTTATCCTAACGTAGTGCTAAATAAAAGTGCCTTTCTACTCATAGTTCTAGTTATTTTGATGGTACTAACATGCTTACTTATAACATAACTCTAGGTGTGAGATTTTTAAGGATATTTTTTAAAAGGACCATTTGAGTTTCGATCGTGATGAGATTCAGTCTCATTTTCAGTTAGTGTATAAATCATTACATACAAATATGATTTTTCGTAAAGAAAATTGTGCAATATTCTAAGATTCTGAATGAAATAGATTAACATAAATCCGACAAAATAATCAATAATATTATATTGGAAAAGACAATATAAACCGAGAATTCCTAACAAAAGCAATGAAAGAATTTAATATACCAACACAGCTAATAGAATTGATAAAAGAAACACTAAAAGTAGAAAGTAAAATCCGGATACAAAACGAATTAACGGAAACAATAGATGTGAAGAAGGGACTACGCCAAGGAGACGCTCTATCATGCATATTATTCAACATCATACTTGAAAAAATAATAAGAGACACAACAGTTAATACCCGAGGAACAATAATTAATAAAAGCGTGCAAGTACTAGCATTTGCAGATGATGTTGATATAATCGCAAGATCAAGAAGAGAAATGATAGAGGCATTCACTCAAATAGAACGAGCTGCAAAAAATAGTGGTCTTAAAAATCAATCAGACAAAAACAAAATATATGCCTGCAAATAAAAACGCACAAATAAGGCAGCTGCCAAATTTAACAATAGGAGAATACAACATTGAGGCGGTAAAAAACTTTACATACTTAGGATCCCTAGTTACGTCTGATAACAACGTTGCAGAGGAAGTGAAGAGGAGAATATTTATTGCCAATAAATGTTACCATGGCTTAATTAGGCAACTAAGATCAGATAACGTCTCCAGAAAAACAAAATGCCAAATATACAAAACCTTAATAAGACCGGTACTCACATACGGTTCAGAAACCTGGACACTCTCTAAAAGGGAGGAAACGTTATTAGCCACCTTTGAAAGAAAAATCTTGCGACACATATATAAGGCACAAAAGAAAACGGGATTTGGCGGAGAAGGTATAACTTTGAACTATACAACATATACCAGGATCCGGATATCATAACATTCATTAAAATAGGAAGGCTACGTTGGATTGGACATGTGGAAAGAATGGAAGAAGGCGAAATACCAAACAAAATATTCAAACAAGTGCCAGTAGGAAAAAGAACAAGAGGAAGACCGAAGCTGAGATACGTAGAACAAATAGAAAATGATATAACAACATTAAAAATTAAAAACTGGAAAAAAAAAGCACGAAACAGGTCAGAATGGAGAAGAATCCTTGAACAGGCCAAGACCCAAAAAGGGTTGTCGAGCCAGTGATGATGATGATGATTATATTGGAAAAAGCAAGTGGTAGACAAAAATGTTCTACTGCTGACACTTTTAAATAATAATTTAATGGTGTAAGAATTCAAGTAATTTAAGGGTTGTAATGAAGTTTGACATTACAGCACAGCAAATCAATACAGTATCTAGACGCCTCAAGTAAAAAAATAAAAGGATTCTAATTAACATTTCTGCTTACCTTACTCATATTGTGTTCATTAGCTAAGCCCAAAGCTGCCTCTGCCATATTGGCATGTAGTTGGATTTCCAGCTCCAGAGCTGCAATCATTTCATCTTTGTCACTAGCATTTTTAACAAGCGTTTCAGGTAGCTGAAAAGAAGTTCCTATACGTCTTCTTATCTGAGGGAAGTTTTCTCCTGGTTCCAAGGGCATTTCAGGAGGAGTTACCCCCGTCAGTTCTGCCTCCTTAAATTATAATTATAAATATTAACAAAATGAATCCGGTCGAGGTGTCAATAGCGACTTTACCATTTCCAATTTCTAACATTTAATTCGAAAACACAATTGTACTTTGATCTTTTTGACGAGGTTCTGTGTGGATTACCGTTTGCTGAACAACGTTACCAAGAAGGATAGTTATCCTCTGCCTCGGATCGATGAGACATTGGACACATTGGCTGAAAGTAAATTGTTTTCTACTTTGGATTTGTCTGGATACTGGCAGGTAGAAATGGACCCAGTAGGTAAAGAAAAGACAGCCTTCACCACCGGATCTGGATTGTGGCAATTCAACGTTATGCCATTTGGACTCTGTAATGCTCCTGCGACATTTGAGAGGCTTATGGAAAATGTGTTGAGAGGGTTATCTTGGAAAACATGCCTGGTTTATCTAGATGACATAATCGTCTTGGGGGAGACATTTGAAGACCATCTGAAGAATTTAGAAAACGTTTTTAATCGACTTAAAGCTGCCCAATTGAGATGTTAAATAAGTGCCAGCTATTTCAAGGTAAAGTCAATTATCTGGGTCATATAGTCAGTAAAGAAGGAGTGGCCGTGGATAAGGAAAAATCGATTCCATTAAGGAATGGCCAAAATCAACTGACAAACATCAAGTGAGAAGTTTTCTAGGACTATGTACTTACTACCGGAGGTTTATTAAGAAGTTTGCGGATATCGCTAACCCATTAACGCGACTTACAGAGGAAGCAAGAGAATACCGCTGGGATACAGACTGCCAAAATGTCTTTGAGACCTTAAAAAGCATTTAATAACAGCACCAATTTTAGGGTATCCACTGCCAGAAGGAGAGTTCATCTTAGATACAGATGCAAGTAATGTGGGAATTGAAGGAGTGCTGTCTCAGATTCAAGGAGGACAGGAACGAGTTCTTGGATATTTTAGTAAAGTTCTTTCGAAACCTGAGCAGAAAGCTGTTCTGAAAGAGCAGAAGAGCCGAAGTACTTCGTCAGTTATACGACAGTCCATCAGTAGGACATTGTGGTGTAAAGAAGACCCTTCAGCGAATTCGGGAACAGTTTTATTGGATGAACAGTTACGACGATGTAAAAGACTGGTGTAAGAAATGTACTATTTGTGCTACGAGTAACGGGCCTTATCGAAAAAGGAGAGCCCCTATGAGACAATATAATGTTGGAAGCCCGTTTGAAAGAATAGCTTTGGACATTGCTGGGCCATTTCCAGAAAGTGAAAATGAAGGCAAGTACATGTTGGTAGTAATGGATTACTTCAGTAAGTGGGTCGAGATTTACGCACTTCCAGACCAGAAGGCAGCCACCGTTCTATATAAGTTGATCCAAGAATATATCAGCCGATTTGGAGTGCCTTTGGAGATCCATAATGACCAAGGCAGGAACTTCGAAAGCGATCTATTCCAAGGAATACGAGATATACTAGGCATGAAGAAAACAAGAACTACAGCATATCATCCGCAATCGGATGGTATCGTAGAACGGATGAATAGGACAGTTGACAAGTATTTGACAAAGAGGGTGTCCAATCATCAGCGAGACTGGGACCAATATCTTCCGTTCTTCACAATGGACTACAGATCTGCTGTTAACGAATCGACAGGCCAGACACCAGCCAGAGTCTTATTCGGACGCGAGATGCGACTACCTTGTGATCTAGAGTTTGGGTGCCGACCTGGAGAAGATGTAGCAGGTGAAGATTATGTGATCGAATTACGAAGAAGAAAGGATGATGTACACGAGTTGATCCGTTCCCATCTCCAGATCGCTAGTGACCGAATGAAGAAACGGTACGATACGCAAGCCGAAAGGGGGTGTTTTAAGAAGAACGACAAAGTCTGGCTCTATAACCCCAAAAAGCGAAAAGGTTGTTCTTCCAAGTTGCAGCAGTTTTTTGAAGGTCCATACCTCATTATGGAAAAGATCAATGATGTCATTTACCGAATAAGCAAGATTTCGAGGGGAAAGCCGATGATAGTACACCATAACCGGCTGGCGTCTTTCGAAGGTTACCACGACGTAGATGAAGAAGTGGAAGTAAACCAAGTCCAAGATGTGTCTGACCTCACGTTTGAGGAATTCATGGGTGCCTATGGAGGTACCGGTAAAGCAAGACACGGTGTTACCAATGAAGAAAGGCAAGATCTACTTGCGCTTCAAGATGACTACTCACTGGCTCTTACCATCCCAGCCAGTATCAAAGATGCACCAGGGTTGGCATCCGTCTTTCGAAGGAAGTTTGGTCGAGTTGCAGAACTTCAATGCCAAGTGCCAGCTCCCGGTAAAACCTTGAAACTCCAAGATGCATCACGTTACCTTTTCTACCTGGTAACAAGACACTGCTCGTGACCAACCTACCTACCGAGATGTACTTCAATTGAGAGAGCACGTACTAGACTCCGACGTACAAAAGTTAGCCATGGCAAAGTTGGAGTGCCACCAATTAGATTGGAGGGTTATCCGAAATATGGTGGAGGAGATCTTTAAAGACACCGAAGTCCAGGTGTTAGTCTGTTGGAATCCGCATAGTTACTGGTGCGGAGAGAAAACCGTCCCTTGTCATTTTTATACAACTGGAAGTTGTAAAATAGGGTCCAGTTGCGGATACCAGCATACCGTTCCAGTTCCAGTCCCGACAGGGTTCCAGGAGGAACCATCTTTTAAGAGGGGGGCAATGTTACGATAATAAATATTATGGCGTATAAAAACTGTAAATATATTATGACTAATTCTCCTCTATTTCTAGTAATTTCGGCGCTCAGTTTAAAGACCTGTTTAGCTGCCGGCAGAAATCTCTAGTCCCGTCGCCGAAGACCAATCCATGAGTCACCTTGTCGCCTAATGGGTGGAAGGTCATCGATTCATCGCCAGATCCTTCTAGATAATGGCATTATATATATAATATATATATATATATATATATATATATATATATATATATATATATATGTAACGATCGTATAAATAAATTATGTAATTATTAGTCAAGAATAAATTGTTGTATAGTGGTTTAATAAATTGATATAAATTATCGCGTTTTAGTAAATTAAAATAAGACCAATAAATTAGAATTAATAAAGACATACAAGTAGTAAGGATCATAAACAATTTTTTGAAATAGGGAAGTGATTTGATATTCAATTTGGGTAATATGTGATAGGAATTGAATTCTGAAGTCATGTTTCATGTTTAGGGCATTGGGAAGAAATGGATAATTATTGTAGAGGGAGAAAAACCTGAATGGATGAAGTTACTCAGGTTGAAATTAATAGGAGTTGCGTAGTTAATTGTAGTTAATTTGGAAAGGGCAAAGAATCGAAATTAGAAGGAGTGGAAGAACAAAGAAGTCATTGATAAACATTTGTGGAAACGTAAAGGAAGATAAAGAATGAATGTTGGAAGTAAAAATTAGTGGAAAATGTATGGAATTAAAAACAACTGTCAGTGAATAGGGACGAAGTTATGGTTGAAATAAGTGTGTCTTCATATCTTCGATAACTTCCAAATCTTCATATAACTCTGGTCGTAATGTTTTTTTGTTGTGTATTATGTATTAAAATTTAATGAATGGCACCTTCAGGAATTTTAAGTTTATGTTTCTCTTTTGTAGTTTCTCTTTTGGAGTGGTCTAATGATCTGGTGGATAAATATCTGTAAGTTCTACCAATGTAAGTAGCAGCGAAATCTGAACAACGCCACTACAGTTTATATAATAAATGGGGTCCTTGGTATTGGTTAGGCTATTGTGGAGGGTATTATTGACTTAAAAACGAAATTTTAATTTATCGAAAGAAGTAGTGAGAATTTGTTTTGACTTTTTCAGATAATTTAGTGCAATAAAAAGGTAAAGAAGCATAAATGGAAGAGATATTAGAAACTGAAGAAAAAGTTCACTGTTAAATGAGTCGAAGCTCTCTTTTGTGTTGAAGTTTATATATAATGTATGGAAATTTGTTTGATAATATTTAGTTCCTTGTTGAATTCAGTTGAAATTCTTTGTTGAATTCAATTTCAACCCTGTTTTTCTTAACTTAGTGGGATAACTTACTTTTCAGGTTTACTGAAGATGGACTGATAAGTCTAAAAACCGTTCGTTCTGAACAAAAATCAAACATCCATTTGGATTTTTTTTTACATTTTTTTTTTTTAATTAAATATATACCAATTACAACAGAAGTTTTCACTTCACCGTAAAAGTTTTTTACTGTAATCCTTCTGACATAGGCTAATTTCTTAGTTATTTATTTAGTTATATTGCCATTCAATTGAACAGTTTTTTGAAAAGATTGAAATCGATAAAATTGAATCGGTAAAATAAAATAAAACAGCTAATTTTCATTAAAATTTGGGTCCTCATTGTGCTGATACAGAAATTAATGCAATATCTAGGTAGAGCCAATGTTATTATCAAAAAAAGGTATTCTATATTTGTTATAGGATACATGTATTATTAAAATTAGTATTTAGCAGTATACTTACGACATTTATTTATTAAATATTGCTTAATAATGTGTTTTTTACTTTACCTGAATTAATATACAATTTGTAGTGTTTGTAAACATTAAATAAATAAAATGAGTTCATTATCATGTACATATATTTATTTTAATTCAATGTTATAATGAATGAAAATAAACAATTTTAAAATTACCTGAATGCATAACTGCTTCAATTCCTGGTTTCTTTTAGCTAAAGCTTCTTCTAGTTGTTTCTTCCTTTCCTGAAGAACAATTATTCTGGAGGAAGGCATATTTCTAGTAGCTCCCATGTTGCTCAGTTGATTTTCTTCTCCTATAGATAATAAAATGTTTACTACTTATTACCTCTTATCTATATGACTAATTGATGTAACATATTATCAGAGATTAAACTAAATCTCATAAAGTGAGAATTTATTTCTAGGATATTTAAAATATCTTCTTTTTATCAATTTATTACTGACATGGAATTTATCTCCATCCAAATAATTTTTAAAATAGCTGTTTTTTCATTCAAATAGTTTGTAAAATAGAACCATAAAATTAAACTGCTACACTAAATGAAATAGTGATAAAAAACAATTGGAGTCAGAAGTAGAGATTAATTTGAAGGAGACAACTAATGCAGAGTCAACAATATTGGGAAGTAAAGAAAACAAAACAGCTGGGAAAATCTTAGTACAGGTTTACATAAAAAGTGAAAAAATCATTTTTGACTATAAAGTGTTTCTTATATGCTTAGGAGAAAATAGTTCCAATAAAAGTCATACACAAAACTGCAAAAAACCTTATTTATAAATATTAACAATTTTGTTGTTTGCAAAATCACATGTAATATAACTACTTGAAGTTATGGCAATTAATGAGTTATTAACACGTTTAAGTCCGACAACGCGACTGTCGCGTTCAGTGAATATAGCCTCAGAGAGGCCACCAACGCGAGTCGCGCGGTCTTTGACTGTATGACAATATATGAACGTTATCTCAGCGGATTTTTCACGAATTACAACAAATATCTGCTGGCCGCTTGGAAATACTGGCATAGACTGGAGTTTGTGTTTGGTTTTCGAATTTTGATGTTAAACTTTATTCTGAGTATATGACATTGTATAAATGTTATCTCAGCGGATTTTTCACAAATTATAACAAATATCTTCTATCCCATTGATAAATTGGATGATAAAATATGAAATCCTCAATTTCATTGCTTACTTTTCAAATATTCAAGCTAGATTGCTCGAAAACGACAAAATTAGCAGTAATAAAAGGTTGTCAAGTAAAAAAAGTAAAAGCATTGGTAAGCTTTGAAATAATCACCAGATGTATTTAGACTATATTGCGTTTCCAATAATTTGTTGTATTATCATAATCCAATCCCATCCGTTTATTTTGCTATGCATTCAGTAATATTTTCTACGCCTTCGGTGTTGGATGTCTTTTGGTTTTACAGTGAGTTACTGCACGTGTTTTGCTAAATACTTCAATTTTAAATTATTTTTAAAATGAGTGATGAATATTGCCAACCTTCGACTTCTAAATGAGGTAGGTGGGAAACTTCTCAGTCAATCTCAGATGATGAATTATTACACATATTATAAGATTCACATGACAACAGTGACTCAAGTGATGAAGATGATCAGACAGACGATCCTAATTTACAAGAAGAATCTGAAGATGATGATGGTGATGACGAGTCTTAAAATATTATTGAATGGTCTTCAGAGGTACAACATCCTACACTGCTACTATTTACAGCAATACTAGGATTGAAAACTGATGTAGGTGGCAGCAATCCTATTGTTTAGTTCAGTTTATTGGTATGTGAATTATTCTATGACCTGATTATTCAAAATAGCAATTTATATGCCGTTATATAAGAATTTAAAATTTTTCTTGGTTAGTTGTTTCACATGGGAACCATAAAAATTAATTGTATGAATGATTATTGGAAGAAAAATCATTTATTTAGTATTCCAGTGTTTGGACAATATATGAGCCGAAATCGCTTTATGTTAATTTTGCGTGCCTTACGTGTTAATAATAATAGTGACAATAACCAGTCCAGACTTGCCAAGATATCTCCATTGTTAGATTTTTTTTAATAATAAAATGGAGAATTTTTATTATACAGAAAGAAAATTGGCCCTGAATGAATCTATGATTCCTCCTATGGAGAGGAAGACTTAGTTTTCATCAATTTCTCAAGGGCAAATGACACAAATATGGTGTCAAACTGTATACTTTGGCAGAATGTATCGGGATGATTCAACGCATATTAGTTTATAGTGGAGCTAGTGACCCCGTAGTTGGAGGATGTAATCAAACGGAAAAAGTAGTGCTAAATTTGATGGATTCGAAACTAAATGTTGGTCACTCCTTAGATATCTATGGATAATTTTTGTAGTAGTGTTCCATTGCGTTAAAAACTACTTTCGGTTAAAACTTATCTTACACGAACATTGAGAATAGGAAGACAGGAAAATCCACATCAAGTTGTTTCTCGAAAATTAAAAAAAAAATGAACTGGTAAGTACATTAATAATACATGTAATTTGCAAAATCTTGAAGTTGTAAATAATGTTACATTTACTTCTAATAGGATTGCATGATTTAATGTTATCGTACAGGAGGGCCAACGCGGTCCTGTATCACACCTGCAGACTATGAACGTGCGTAGCGGCCTAAGCGACTACGTCGCTTCTCATAAGCACTGTACTGAAATCCTCGCGTGAATTTGTCTATAGGTGCTTTTAACCAATATTGTCAGTACTGTTTTGAACATATTATGTACAACTTTTTTAAATATTTTTAACTCTAAATCTGTAAGTGATTCATTGTTTATTCTCACCTAATATTTATATAAATTTTAACCATATTTTAGTTGTCTCCTGATGAAGCTGACAAAAAATCAGCGAAATATAGAGAATTAAAAGAAAAAAGAGATTTTTTTTAAATAACAGACCGCATACCCGATACACCAATACAATAAATTGTTATTTACGTTTCGGTCGATAATCCTACCAGTTTTGCAATATATATACAGTATAGGTAAAAGTTTATGGTCGGTATGGACCTTACATGAGATGGAGTGAGAAACAACTGTTTAAAAAGAGAGAGATATATTAGGTGTCCGCCTTTTATATCACCGAACATAAATGAGTGGATATGGAGTGGATATAATAAAAAGGGGAAATTCAACGTTGCCAAACTTATTGGTTTTATTTGACCTGTTGTCTTTTTCGCATTTGAACAATGCTCCAAGATAATGAAATTTGGGCGAAATGGATTTAAATGGCAGCTTATTGTTTTTTATTGGGAATATGCCACAATTTTACTTTACAATAAGTGTAATATAACATTTTGATTTATACTTCGGAAATCGTTTTATATAAATAAAATTTATTAATGTTTGGTATTTTAAAAACGATTTCCGAATTAAAAATCTAAACATCAAAATAAGCTTATTTTAAAGTGACATTATGCCTTATTTCCAATAAAAATATTAAACTGCATATAAATAAAAAAGCTTCCTACAAAACTATTTGCCAACGTGGCGTGCCGCGTGGTCAAATCACCGAATCAAAGGGTAAACAGGTATTTACGAATAGAGGTGGGTCATTGACGTCGCAAAACCGATTTTCGTAAACAAGTAACTATGATTTTTTAATAGTAGTTTCAAGTAAGAAACTACCTACATAAACAAACATAATGGCTATTATCGTTTATCTGTATATTTATTGAAGTGAAGGAAACTAATAAAAGATTTTATTATAACTTGAAAACTAAACTAAACAATACAAATAGTAAATCGTACCTACGTTTACATTACACGTTATTATTAAATCACGAATCGTCTAAATTGACATTTAAAAACATAAGTTTTTTTACTTTACTTCTTATTAATTGTGTTTTTCTTTTATTTAAAATTAAACCTGATTTTGAACATGTGTTCACATTTACAATACTTTATGAATATAGTGGTTAAGTTAGGAGATACATGGCGATGGTTTTTTCACCATTGTAATGGACTCTCGCTACAGGTGTACGTTTAGATGAGTCATGTCCAATTAATTGATCAAAAATACACCATGGACTTAAGTCATCTTTATCGGTTTCTTTTTCTTATACTGGTTGATTTTCAATAGTACAATCTTCTTGTTCTTTAATTATAGAAGTAACCAGCTTCTTAACTCTTTCTTTTGTTTTTTTAGCGTCATTTTTATCAGAAAATCCCTGCACTTTAAATCGTGAATCCATAAACGTACATAATGACAATATGCCACTGTATTCTATCCCTCTAAATCTTTTTGCTAAACCCGAGATTAGTAATTATCCCGTAATTAGTAATAAAAACCCGTACTACGTCGGATACTAACTATGGATGTAAGGTTACTGTTTGCTAAAATTTTATTGCAAGATTTTTGCAGGCAGCGTACCAGAACAATCACTGAACTATCATTCAAGTATTTTTGGCCACTCATTGTACTTGTTATTTCTTTAAAAGGCCGTAAAATTTAGGACAATTACGAAAAAATAATCCAGTCTTCATTATTTAGATTTGGTCTAAGTCTAAGTCTGTATTAACTGATACCAATGTGGAACGGATTGCCTCTTCTAACTCCGTTATTCTTTCTAACATGTAATAGGTGAAGTTCTACCTAGTTTCCACGTCTTGGATTGGCCGTTTGGGATCTTTGTTATGTTGTAATTGATACTTTAAAGGCGTTTCTGAAGATAAGGTACTTTTTTGAAATGTGTTTTTTGCCGAATTGTCGAAAAAAAGACTTTTTATTTTATCTATTTGTACACGACAGCATTTAAGTGCGTCCTCCATCAATAAATTTAACGTATGAGCAAAACAATTTAAATGTTTTCATTCCAAAGCATATTTAATAGCTATGACCATATTTGAGGCATTATCAGTTACTGCAAAATTTACTTTTTGTTTTAGAACCCCTGAATAATAATTTCACTAATTTTAAAAGCGATGTTTTCTTAATTATGGTTTCCAGAAAAATGGCAGCAGTCTAATTAAACCGTGTTAAACTCTAAATTCTCGGTTAAATTCATTAAAATCAACTAGTTGATGGTTGAAGCTGGTTACTTCTATAAAAAAAAGAAAAAGAAGATTATACTATTGAAAATTGACTAGTACAAGAAAAAGAAACTGATATAGATGACTTAAGTCCATGTAAATGTAAGTACTATTTGTATTGTTTAATTTATTTTTTCAAGTTATAATAAATATATTCTTCGTTAGTTTCTTTCACTTTAATACTTATACACATAAACGATAATAGCCAATATGTTTGCATACTCGCTAATTTGAATACTGGTAAACAATCAACTAGTTACAGTTTACGAAAAACGGTTCCGATAAAAATTTAAAAAACTAAAGGTCCCACCTCTAGTTTCTTAGCTTTATGAGGATCGGAACCACAAATATGTAAAATATCTCTGATCGGAACTAATCGTCTCACTAACAGGCAAAATGGGCGTAAAGAAGATTTATGGAGGGGAGACCAAGGGGGAATATGATTGTTATCTTTGTCTATTCGCTGAAAATATGATTTTATATCTGTGTTAGATATCCTGTTAAGTTTTACCATACCGACCATAAAATTTTACCTACACTGTATATATATATATATATATATATAATATATATATATATATATATATATATATATATATATATATATATATATATATATATTCTAAATTAAATGAGGCATTTAAGACATTCAAAAATTGGGTAAACCTCCTTTTGTTAAACACCAATTTTTTCATTCTGTCATGCATCATTTGTAGCTACCTTCCCTACAGCTTTATCTGGATGATGTCCTCACACATCTACATCTTAACATTTTTTTAAAATGTCTGAAGATGTTTTTTATAAACTGGTTATACTGTAATCAATTGGCTTATTGTCTATTTACCATTTGTGTAACCTTCTTGCTCGGGTTTTAGTGTTAACTTCTACTTAAGTAGCTGTGACTGAAGACTTTACATGCCCTCTGAAGTGTAGTAGTAATCCAGCAAATTTAAAAAATTCTGTGCCTGAGATTGAACAAGGACCATCCAGCTTAGTAATCTACAGCCATATCTCAGAAGCTAGTTACTGGCTTATCAAACCAGATGGCCCAGGTTTGATCCAGGCACAGACACTAGAAATTTTTAATTTAACCATAAACTTCTAACATAAATGTGTCAGTCCCGGCTAAGTAAATGGTATGTAACATGTAACACTATAACCTGAGCCAAAAGGATACATGAATGGAAGATGTACATAAGCCAATTGACTACAGTAAGTACAACTGGTTATAAAAAATCCATGGCCACTGATCTACAGTTGCCACTCAGTGTGGGTACACAACATAAAATATTCTGGAATCTACTCAAATACATTAATACAAACAAATTGAAGAAACAAGGGGTTGAGGGTCCCTAACTTTCAGTGTAGTTACCAAAACATAAAATATTTTGGAATCTATTCATAAGTTGATTATAAACAATCCGAAAAATCTTTTATAATAAAAGGGCTAAAGTCTAACGTCAAAAGACTATAAGTTATAGTAATTGTCACTGGACTTATTCACATCAAATAAAAGTAGACATTTTATCAATGACTCATTTGTTTATAATTGGCATTTAACGCCCTAAAAATGCTATGCTATCATCGACTTACCTTTAACATTATTATGCCCTTCCAGCATTTCCTTATTATCAGATAAATAGATTTGACAACTTTACCGACTTTTTCCTACACAACAAAGTAAAATGGAACATGTTGACATTTTGTTAACAATGAAAAACTGCCAATTACATTTTGAATATGGCATTTGAAAAAAAACCTTTAAATTAACAATCCAATGTCTTTATCACACGAATAAAATAAATTTGCACATCTACGCAGTAGTTTTCATAATGGCCAAGTACAGGTATATTCGTATTTCCAGGAACAGTTACGAGTTCCTAGAAATAATCTAGCATAGAATATTTTTTGATTACATGCTTATCTTTAGATTTTCCTGAGTTTATCAAATAAAATAAAAAAAATAAATGTAAATATATTCCACTTTAACCACCCCACCCATTTCACAATCACTAAGTTTCCATTTTAAAACAAAATTGTACTTGTCAACGAATCCGACGAAGATAGCAATTCATTTTACATTGTTATGAGTGAGATATAAACATACAATGACAAAATCTACAAGGAATAATAACTGTCACTACTGGCTTGTCAACTTTTTCTACTTCTAGATTTTCTACTAGATGTAGCAGACTAGGATTTTGATTTAGTGAATATGGCCGGTAAATCTAATGGATATAGTAGAAAATATAGTAGATTTAAAAAAAATGTTAGTGGGTTACTGGCAGTTTTTTAATAAGTCATTTAAATGCCAGATATTGTTCTCATTTCTATTTTTTAATTCAAATCTGAATATATTAGTGTATTTATTCTGCTTCCATCTAGTGATAAAAAGCAAAAGTAAAAAAATGTGGTAAATTCGTATAAAAATTTCCTACAAGACGATTCTGTGGTTTGTAGTATTCTGGCAGTTAGATTTAAATTAAAAAAATAAAGGGTATTTATCAAATAGTATTTACGCCCTACTGTCGCTATTTTATTTTAGACAAAGGGAAAGAATATAATAATAATAATAATAAGTAATAAAATTTTTCGGAAAAATATTCCCATGAGATTTTTTTGCACAATCACTTTCAGGTCGCCCAGGCGAAATGTTCAAACTTTTTTAAACAATTATTTTTTAAACAAATTATAACAATCAACTTTTTTGACTCGGAAAAATGTGGAGTTTTTCTCAGTTTAAAATTATTTATACCTCGAAAACGGTCAAGTTTACAGAAAAACTACAAGATACTTATTTTGTTCAGAATGATTCAAACAATTAAAAAAATAGTCCGGGTCAAAAAATTGATTGTTACACTTTGTTTAAAACAAATGTTTAAAAAACTTAAACAACTTTTCGCCTAGGAAATACATGGGAATATTTTTCTGAACGAACCCGAGTTTTTCGCCTTGTCTATTCTGGTAAATAAAATTCCTATTTTTGTATTGTCCTTCTTGTATTCACTTTTTTGTTCATTAGCCCTTTCAATATGACTTAGATTTTATTATATCTTCTATTTTAAATAGGTATATAAATCTTGTCATATGTAAAACCGTTCAAAAGATACGAATGGGTACTTTTGGCTAGCACTGTAGATTTAGTCATATCGCCGCTTCGAAAGAACGTAGGCTTAAGTCAAAAAATACGATTTTAGAGGAGAGACATTTTAAAGTTTTGTAGAAATGATTATGAGCATAACTCCGAATAAGTTGTTACTTTAAAGGAAAAACCTATACAATTTGGTTAGAAATTCATCGAAATATAAACTGTGATAAATAGATAAATTTATTAATTGTAAAAAGGGTTAAATTTAGATTTGAGTCTTTTTTTCCTAAGAAACATTTACTTAAACTTTGTTAATAGGGCTATTATATATATATATATATATATATATATATATATATATATTTATATATATATATATATATATATATATATATAGTTATTATGAAAATTACTAAGTAATTATTTTTTTTATATACTGTATAACGTAAAATTACCATAATCATTTTAAAAATTAGTCTTACACACCGGTCCAATAGGTAAAACAGAGTCGGTACTGAACAGAAGAGATGTCAAAGCTCAAACAATAAAAGGCCAATGAAATGAAATCGTTTATTCTTTTATATCTTGTTTTTTAACAATACTAAAAAAATTATAAGCTTTCGTAAAATGGTTGATAGTGCCCAGGAATAACTTTTTTTTTGAATCAAATGCAATAATCCACTTCTCTTTTTAGCACGGTTTTATTGTTTAAACATTTTTCAAGGTATAAGTTTGGTTAAAAGCTTCTGATGTTTTGTTACTAGTTGGCACTTTAACTACTTTGTATTCTTGTTGAGCAAAAGATGTCTTATAAACAAAATAACCCTCATGATCACTGCTTACGCGTATTATTTTGATATCATTTAGCTTTAAGATTTCGTTCTCTGTAGTTTTAGAAAAATTACTACCAATATCTGCTGCTAGAGACTTCAAGTCAAAAAAACTTGTAGAAGACATTTCAAAAACTTTGTACGGCGAACCCGACTTTTTGGCATTTCTGATAATTAAAATATACTGGTCGGGTGTGTAGATTGGGCCCGACTTTAAGGATTTTTCTATACTTCTTGGAATTACAGAATGGGCTGAATCGCCCTCATTCTGTGTATGTCCCTTTATGAGAAATTTATGTGTAATGGTGTTAATGTAGGGTAACTTTTTCACAGCGTATATGTATAGGGAAATTAAGAAGCGGTTTTTCTGTTGCCCACAACAGATGTCTAAAAAGAAAATAACTTGGATGGAGAAATACCTCCTCGTTACCAACTTTGATTACCTTATTCTTAAAATCCAATTGGAATCCATGCGTATTCATTACGTCCATTCCTAATATAACATCCTCTTCGATGTCAGCAACTATAACAGTATGGACGAACTTTTCTGTTCCAATTCCTAATTGTACCTGGATTTCTCCATGAATGTTGGCATTTTCACCTGTAGCGGTCCGCAGTCGCAACCTCGTTGGTAACAGTTTCTTACGGCTGTTTATAACTGTCGGGCGAATAATGGTTCTTGTCGCTCCGGTATCCACCAACAACGTATGCTTTTTACCATTTATTTCTCCATCTACATATACACTATCTTCACGACATTTCAAAGAAGCTATTAGTATGAGAGGGTCTTTGGAAAAGTTCTGGGTCGAAGCTGCCCCCCTAAGGCCGACCCGTTCTAGTTTTCCTGATGGTGAGTTTCTTGATTTGTGTCGTACCTAGGATGCTTACATGAACTTCGTACGTGTCCTATTTCGCCACAATTCCAGCATCTTATGGTCTTCGTTTTCTTGTATGTCATGCTTTTCATCATATTAACGAGCTGGTCAAGTTTATCTTCATCTTCTTCCTCTTTTACAGTCCTAACTTTACTGTAACCGCCAGAGGCCTGCGTAGCAGACTCGTATTCGAGGGCGGCGGATAAGACATCAACCAGCGTCTTGTGCCGAGCTAATCGTAGTGTTCTCTGCATTTCATGATCACGAAGACCATCAATAAACGTTTGAACGGCCAACTTTTCCATCATGTCTTCGGGAGCTGTTGGATAAGCGTATCGCACTAATCTGGCAATATCTACTTCATATTCTTGAAGAGCCTCATCTTTCTTTTGTCTTCGATTTTTGAGCTGCGACTGATATACATGCTCCAAGTGTTCGTGGCCATATCGCATATTTAACCTCTTCTTCAGTTGTTCGAAATCATCCGTCTCCTCTACGGCTATGGCCTGGAGCACATCTAAGGCATCTCCTCGAAGAGCTATAGTCAGGTTTACAGCCTTTTCTTTTTCTGACCATCCATTCGCTCTTGCAGCTGATTCGAACTGTTTCATGTAGTTGTTCCATGACGATTTTCCGTCGAAAGTTGGAACTTTGACATGAACATAACCTCCGCTTCCTTCAAATTTCGGCCGTGTTTCCAACTTACATTTCGTCTCGTCTTCTTTTATCTCTACCGGATCTAAAGCTACCGTATTAATTGGTGGTAGCACTCTCGTGTTAGTTATCATGGTCTCTAACTGTTTGATTTTCTCTTCAACTTTATCAAATGTTTTAGAGACTTCTTCAAACTTCTCACTATTCTGAATACATACTTCGTCGAATCTTCTAGACATATTTTCAATTTTCTCGTCATTTTGTCTAGCTATTTCTTTAATAATTTGAGACGTTTCATCGAATCTTTCATCAGTTTTTTTAGAAGTTTGTTCGATCATTTGAGACGTTTCATCGAATCTTTTGGAAACGTTCTCGAATTTATCATCAGTGTTTTTAGAAGATTCTTCAATCATTTGCGAGACATTTTCAAATTTCTCATTTATTTTTGTTAAAACTGTTTCTTCTGATGATTGAAACTGGAATGTCTCTGGGTCATCTCCATTCTTGTTAAGAATATTCTTCAGTCGCTCCTGGAGGATCTTCTTGGACCCGCTGCAGTCTTCATCGCGTTCTTCTAATTGCTCACGCAACTGTTTTACCGAGAGTTGTACTAGCAGCATCTTTGTACAGGCACACACGTACTTTTATAAATGTTCTTTTGTACAAAGGTCACTACCGAACTACGCGGATGTTCCCGACGAACAATACTTTTCAAAAGTTTTAAAGTCTTTTTCAAAAGTCACTGCTGGATTTATGTTGAAACTCCACACCTGACACCATCTGTTGTATATTTATATTGTTCTAATTTATTTGTCTTTATTCTAATTTATTGTCTATATTCTAATTTATTAAAACTCACGATAACTAATTACTAATTTATTAAATAGCTGTACAAATGTATTTATGTCACGTTTCGTTACAAGTAAACCGCGTTTCCCGATCTTCTTATGACTGTCTGCCAAATAAAAAATCTTTCATTTATATACACAACTGTTGTCATCTAGAAAATTCGGCGAACTTCTTGAATAATCTCGTATTTTGGTGAAGGCGCTCGACTCGTTTTTCAACTGTTTGAAAAGCCTCGAGACGTGGATTACTCATAAAATTAGGGTCTAAAGGTTTCTGTAAACAACTTCGAATTTACTGGAACAGAAAACAGAATTAGTCATAATATATTGATAGTTATAAACGCCATAATTATCGTAACACTATTTAACCAATCTGACCCATCTTTTGCACAAAGTTCAAATACAGTAAGACCCTGAAATTCAGGTACATTTAAACAAATTTTAATAAACAACATTATTCAGTAACAGGAAAACAAAGAAAATAAAACCCTGTTTGTAGGGGCCTGTTAATAGAATACACTAATAAGTGTATTAATATTTGTTTCAAAAAACAAAGGAGATATACAACAAGGCAATAAAACTAGTTAGCATACCATGAAAATATGTGAAAAAGTAATTGTTAGACATATGTGACGAAACAAAAATATCCAAAAATCAGTTTGGTTTTATGTAAGTATGTATGTTATCCAACAACAACCCAATCTTCACTATAAGACAGCTGATGCAAAATACAGAACTTAAGACACAAAAGGTATTTATTGATCTTGAGAAAGCATATAATACAGTTCCTAAAGTGGTTCTGTGGTGAGCATTCAATAAGAAAGGATTTCCCAGTGTCATCAGTGTCGTAAAAAGGATCTTGTGGCTCATTCAAATCAAATATTTTCGACTATTCTTCCATTTCGTTTTGTGTGAGAGAGCGACTCATCCTGAAACGCAATAAATAATGTTATTCTAGAAAACACTGCTGGGATAAATATATTCTCCAATTTATTACTGCTAGGATGTGTAGGTAAGTCCCAGAGGGCATATATAAAAAACTTATAAAAAAAAATACATTGACTTACCTTTTTATTTATTATAGCATTTTCGTGACACAAATAATCCACAGAATAAATGAAAGAAACTAATAAAAATCTCGTAAACAGACAGAGAGAAAATAACGAGTTTTTATACGTTATACCCAAGCGAAGACTGTACACTACTGAGTTATTATTCCATCCCAATACATTTTAGAGCCGCGTTTAGGATGCTGTATTTTTAATGTATTCCTGGGATCTGTATGGCCCTGCAGTATTGAAAGGGTTAGATAAAATTATGTATGTATGTGATTTTATTTGTGTTAAGAACATAATACCGAAGTTATGTTCAAAAGTTTAGAAAGCATGGGTTAATAATTCTCTCTTTAAGGATTGGATAACAGTCGTTATGCTGACCTAAAAAGCCATGGAGAATTAAAAAAATATATTACCAGTTTTTTATGACGGGAACGGTACACATTCTATTCGCCGAGGAATCAACATTAGATGAAGCGAAAGTGGCAGAATCCAGGTTAGCTCTTTTTATTGCATAACATACTTCAGTTGGAATGTCGATAAATATTCCTGGAAATGGAAGCAGCATTTCCATTACTAAGTTGCGGCTTATGGGAATCGGTCTTGGACCGGTGGTAATAGTGGATATTATATTAGGAAGCAAGACTGCAACAGTTTCTATATTGCGAATTAATGCTGTAAGTAATGCATTAAAACGATCGATAAATGTCAAGTGACTATGGAATCTGCTCATTTACACAGATGGAGGATGAAATTAATTCAAATGGAATTAATCCAAATTCAAGAATACAAAGAAAATTAAAGAGAAATTGCTTATCTGGATGAGACAAGGTTTGATACCTATGACGTTCCAGATTATGATTGGATAAATTTTCTGGCCGCTGCACAACAAAACCTCCATCAAATAAAGGAAAACGTATTACGATAATCTATATAGGAATAAACAATGGTTTTATACCTAATGCTTTAACCTTGTCACGCAAAAACATTAAGGACTTTTGTGTCGACTATCATGATGACACCACGTCAGAATTATTTGAGAACTGGTTTACAACGAGGTTATTGTCAAATATACCGCTAATCCATGTCATGAGACCGCTCCCGTAGGAAAAATGTTTTTGATTAGTTTTCTTTACGGATTCTTTCTCAAATTTTTTTCCTACAAAAAGTATTTTTTTTAAGTTTTTTGTGCCATAAACACAAAAGTTTTGTTATCATTTTCTCTTAAGTTGACAGTTTTTGAGTTATAAGCGATTTAAAATCTGAAAAATGCGAAAATACGCATTTTCGGAGCTTGAAAACATTATGTAAATGGCTTCTACGGGAGCGGTCTCATATCACTTAGCGGCTTCAATCCAATTGAACACATATGACACGAGCTAAAAATATCGGTAAGAAAAAATATTGTTTCGTTCACCCTAAATTTATTTGTGGTTCACCTATTTGAATTAGAAATAAAAAAACTCGATGACAGCTGGAAAATAGCATTGCCAATGTAACAGAAAAGATCATAAATATAGATGCTAGATAGAGCATTTCAAGTAAACTGGAATAAAAATCCGGAAACTCCAAAGATGAAATGTCTATTATCACAGTCAGATATCATTCCCTTGCCAAAACATAACAAAACGAGAAAACGAGCAGGAAAAGGATTGTAATCTACACTTCTGACAACTCTACATTAAGCATTTATGAAAAAGTGGGATTGAAAATTGACCCGTTAGTGTTTTTTTGAAGTAAGTTGAAGAGGGGTGGGTAGTTTATAACTATTATCATGTCGATGATAACCTGTACACGATCCGATGACAGATCGTAGCTGCGTTCTATTACACAGTTGCTTCTAGATACTCCTTTACTTATAAAGTAGTCCACTAGATCTGGTAGTTTTCTGGGGTCGTTAGGCCAGAATGTAGGAACTCCGTCGGTGTGGCAATCATAGTTGTTGTTCATTAATGCTTTTAAGAGGTTACGATCTTTTGGTCTTATTAGTCTTGAGCCCAAATGTATGTATGTATCTCCTTCCAGTCTCCGCTAGCTACGAATTTACTGTCAAGTGTTTGAAGGATTTGTTTTCGTCTGCGAAGATTTTAGGATGTACAGGGCAGTAAATTGCAGATATATTGTAGTGCCATGGCGTTACATTTACCTGAATGTTTGCTGCTTAATTTTTTCTTTTGCATATTTCGGCGTGAGATGCAGCTGTGGATGATTAATAATGGGCTATACTATCGGAGTGAGGTGTGTTGTATGTGGTATTAAAGCGGAATGGTTTCTGAGATTAGTAGTATATCGATTCAGATTTAAGAAAGTAGTTATAATACTTCCTGCTTATTGTTAAGCAGGTTGTTTGCGTTCCTTGTTGCAAGTCTAGGTATGTTCAAGTTTTTTTTAGATGACTTGTATTGTACAACATTGTACACAACAAGTATGTAGTTTAATGTACTAATAAACGTATTTTTCGGGAGGAACTCTCTCGTTACATCTGCTGCACGATAACCAAATCATTTCAGCACCAACATCACAAGACACGCAAAGAGATTATTGGTTGGAGAGCAACGCAGTAGATGACGAAAAGGAATACTAAGGAAGACGAAGTTCTTGAAGACTAATAAGTCAGAAATATGTACTTACAATTGCTTCTTTGGACCTTTTTTTTTCATTTACTTTGTAAGCTCTGTAAGTACTCTCTTTACCTTAGTTTTCTTATATGTATATGTTACGTTTGGAAAGTCTCGCAGTTACTTTCCACGAAATATTCCGGTTTCGGAATAATACAATTAAATTCCAAGTACAAAAAATGCTTTTGTATTAAGATACACAAGTGTGACTCCAAAGTTTTATTTCAATACAGTTTGCTCTGGTGGTACAAATTCGACTGTGTATATCTACGGAACACTAATCCCTAATATTAATATTATTATACTCAATACGTTCTCAGATGAATAAGTCCTAAAATTTAATTGCCTAACACCAGCCTTCGTCATATTTATACATGTATCTACCTAAATATATATATATATATATATATATATATATATATAAAAAATATATATATATATATATATATATTATATATATATATATATATATATATAATACAATTATCTAACGAATTAATTATATACTTTTTTTTAATAAAAGAGTAAATCTTTATATTGAATATTATTACTGCAAACATTTATCACGTTTTGTAGTAACCGGCCTGAAAATTACTAGCCAGAATAAAATTTAGTTTCGTATCATTTTGATTCTCGCGGTTGGCAGCACTGGTAAAGAACCTGCTGTCTGTCTGCTGTCTATTTTATGCATTAATGCAGAAGCATCTATGATAATAGTAGTGGTTTTATGGAATGTGAAGTTATGGTGCTCCTTTTTAATGTATAAATTTTATGTACATTATTGAGATCATTAAATGTACTTAGAATTCGATTGTGATGAAAACGCGAGTGATGTGAATTTTTGTATGTAACTATAAAAAGTTTTCTCGAAAGTTTGTTGTCTACGTATATGTCGATTCCAAGAAATATTGGTGTTTTCAGAATGGTGCATCACAGTAGGAATTGAAAGTATGTTATTTTTGATATTATTTGAATTAATATTTTTATTAGTTGAGACGTATATTCACGAGTATTTTTAAAGATATTTGGAAAAGCACAAATTAAAAAATATAAGTAATATTATAATGTTTGTTTATTCCATTGTGACTGTTTTCCATTCATCAATGTTTACAATATTTAGATGCACATTAAAATATATTGTTATGTTATTGACACTACAGGGAAGGTTGATTCAATTTGATAAAACACATTTGTAATTTTAAAATTTTTTTATGTAGTTCTTGAAAAGTACGGAAAATAATAGCACACATTAGAGCCTAAAAAAGAACTTGGAGAAATGTTCTTTGAGAATAAACGTGAGATTAGAATGTACCTACATATAAAAGTTACACACAATAATATGAATGACAAAAATGCACATCAAACTTTATCCACTATGATTTTAATTCACCATCAATAAAAAGGCACTTTAAAAAGATCAAGGTACAAAAAAAGTAGTAGCAAAAAAGTGGGTAATGTTAAAATGTTTTGCTAATATTCAGATATAATTGTCTAGTGTTAAAAAAACTGAATTTAAAAGTTTAGAGCCAGTATTTCATTAAAAAATACTTTATATTAATAAAATAATAATTTTATTAAAAATTCTCTGAAGTTTTAATTAGGTTAATATGGCCTGCTGGGTTATTAGGATAATTTAAAAACATACTTGTTTCTTTTATATACATTAGTAAATAATAGTTTTGGTAAAAAGATTATTTTCAATATAAAAATATTGAATCTGATACCAATGACAACAGACTAAGATACAGCTGAAAATACAGTTCTAATGGGAACATGGCATGAAAAAACTGAAACCAGTAAGAGACCTTTTTAAAATGTAATATGTCTAGTAAAAATATTTTAAAGGTAGTTCATACAACTAAAGCCAACAATAAGAGAAAATACATAAAAAAATCATTAAAACATATTTAAATACAGATTTGTTTAGAGCAGCAAGTTCTAAAATAAAAATAGCCATTATGATTGCCAACCTCCATAGGGAGACATCACTCTAAGAAGAAGAAGAGAAAAAAACATGAATTACTTACCTCTTTTAAATAAAATTTCATAACATGTTCTTTTAACAAATGCATTGTGTTACTAATGACATTGAATCTTGGTTTTAATTTAATAAATAGGAAAGTATACAATTTTCTAGAAAATAAAACATGTTGTTAGCTTGTTTTGATGCTAGTTTTCATTAATCTCTTGCAGAGTTTTACTGCATTAAGGTAAACATTGATAGTGATACTGTCCTGCTAAGTAAAAATGTCCTAATTGGCAATATTAGACTTTTGGGAAAAAGCAATATTTGTAGTTAATACCATGCCATGCTCATTGTAAAAAGCAGACTGTTGGTTTGGGCACATAAGTAGTTAATTAGGATTAATTTTTTTTTTATTTACCAGCAATCACTAAAACTACCCCAAGTTTGACATTAGATAGATAAGACTTTTTAACTTGGTATTAATAATGTATTGGTTATTAATATTTATTAAATTTTCAAATATTCTGGTGCCGGCTCGGTTGCTATGGCGTGGATGGAAAGTATTACAAAATCCTCTACGGCAGGCAACATATTACTGTCAATCCCTCATTATGCAAGCCTTATTATGCAAGCCTTATTATGCATATTGCTATGACTGCTAACCAAGGGTTACATGAAGCCAAATAACTAGCCCAGGACAGGGAAGGATGGAGGGAAATCATGAAAAAATTGTAAAGGCCTGATGGTGTTACCACATCCCAAAAAGGATTAGGAATGAGGAGGAGAGGATGACTGCTTTGAAAGATTTTGCCATTAGACATTAAGATTTACTTATAAAATTATCTGAAAAGCTTACTTTGTGTCTAATGTTTTTACTTAATCTTCCTAATGTATGTATATGAAATAAAAACTATATCTCATAAATATGTCTGAAAAAAATGTTCTGTTTGCATAGGTAATATCTGCACTTTTCTAGAATTTGAATTTTTGACACAATGCATAAAGTCATCAAACTTTACCCATTTTTGTTAGTGCATTTTATATTTGATGATGAAAACTATCGCTGTATAAAAGTGTGTCCAGGTTCAAACATTTTAGTGTCAAATTTGATAACTAAACTTCAGGACTATTTACAATTATATTCAAAAGGAAATAATTGTCCAGTTTTTGTTTTACCATGCACAGTTACCTATCTAACCAGAATTTTATATTTTGTTTATCTCTGTGGTGTAAAGTAAAAAGTTAAAATGCTGTCTTCCTTAATTCTGCTTGATATACCCTTATGCCAAATAATTGCTGTTGGTTTTTGTTTATTTGAAGAAATACCAGTTACACAAAATTTTCATTGTATGCAATAATGTGAGGAACAAATATTACCTCTTTGAACATCTCTGCCTGTAACAGGATCATCTTTTGTAAATCATATATATATATATATATATATATATATATATATATATATATATATATATATATATGTATATAAAATTTTATGCTTCTTCTATGTTTGACAGTAGTCACAGTCTACATTTTCATTGGCTTCATTATGTTTTGTCTCAGATTTATGTAGTTTATATGTTTCTTATCCAAAACACTTTTCAAGACCAAGCTTTGCAAATGATATATTCATAACACTAACATTTTTATGATAAACTTCATAATTTACTTTCATATGTGGATACATTTCCTTGAAGTGATTGTGCATTTGTGCAATAGAAATATCACTTGGTAAATACAGCCTATTTGGTGCATGTTCTTGGCGATATTGTGCTATTGTCAGATTGAATAACTGTATGTGTTGTTTGATATAGATGATTGGTATCAATTTTCCATTTACATGGATGACTCCCTCTTTTACCAGAAACCAGTATTACGCTAGATGCTGGAGTGTTTCAAATAGTTTTCAAAAGTCTGTCTTTGCTAACATCAAATCCCAGGGTAGAAAAGTTTTGCAAACATTAACTTCATCACCAGTAACTTATTTTAAGTAATACTTGAAAATATTTCTGCTACATGTGTTTGTTCAAGCTCCTCTTTGTTTTATATTCAAGTGCTATATACAACCTTATATAAATATATTTCTGGCTTCTGCATTTATTTCCCACACTAGCTGATTAATAACCTGCTTTGGCCATTAATTTTTGATGCAAACTTTAACTTGCACTGTTCTGGATTATAGTTGTTTAATGAAATGTTTTTGCTTCAAAGAAACAGTTTTTTTGTTTTTTTTTGTCTAGTATCTGGTGACTAGTCATACTTCTTGAGTTTTCTGACTGTACCTTTATTTGTATAAAATTTATCACATTTCAGCTCAACAGAATGGATTGTGTTTTGCACACTATATTTTCAAGTATCTGCTTAATAAAATGCAAAGTTTTTTATGCAACATCAATGTCCACATCATATTCATTTATAGGTATTATTAGAAAAGTGTTTGTTAGTTGATATGATTTTGTTTTCATCTGGATTGAGTGTTGTTTATGAACATGTAGAAGATTCTGCTGCATTAAATCAACTTCTGCATCAGCAAATTGCCATTTTTTTCTTTTCTTGCCATCAGTATCTATTTCTTCTCGAAACTGTTTATTCTGCAATGCTAATGCAATTAATTTTTTCCCCCTGTTTATTATCCTGAAAATAAAACATAATAAAACAAAAAATTACTGGCTGCTCAGTTATTATTTATATTTATTTTTACTTACCACAGCGAATCAAAAGTACAGTAGTTACTAAGGTAAGTATATACCAAATAAGCTTGCTTTCTACAAGCATGGCAAAATACAAATCAAATCAACAAAAATTATCACATCCAATCAAAATATCTAAATGAGAAGCAATCAGGTATTCACATGACTTACAGTAATTCTCCTAGTCATATATTTCCTATAAGGTCTAGGTCAACATTTATTTCACCAGTTTCACCATGATTTCAACAAAATTTACTTAGCCAAAAAGTTCTATCTTTAATGCATTGATGTATATGATTTAATGCAGACATGATGCTTTAACTAAGTAGTTAGCAAATAGGATGTTTATTATAAATACAACTGCTGTTAGTTATAGAAAGGACTAACAAATTTATGATTTTGTATGATTTGAGGTAGCAGAAAAGATTTTCTGACTTAAGTAATAATATGATAAATGTCTAATAGTGAAATATAACCTTATCAAGAAATAATGAAAATTTTAGATCTGGAATTTTTACTAAGCAGGGAATATATTGGTATTTAAAATTTTGGTATGGAAATAATATACTAGCACACTAATATAAAAATTATATATTTGGAAAAAATTTTACATCTATAGAAATTTTATTAAATATGTTTAAAATAATAATTTGAAAATTCATTACAAATATGTAAGTGCTCTGTAGAAACACTCAAAAGACAAGATAATATTCAGTTGAGTAAAATTTGTTCCACTATATACACCTAACAGGTATTTTTGATGTAGTTTTAATCATAGAAAAAATGGAAAGAAATATGTTAAAGCAAGACTAACCACCCATTCACTATAACCCACTAATTTCATATATCTCAGTGTAAATTTTAATGCATGCACTGAGTAATGAATATTTTTCTGGATAACCTCTCATGAACTAGAAGGATATTAAGTAGTATTGCTACAATATTTACTACAGCTTTTATGAGGTAATAAAATTCATAACAATACATGTTCATAGACATGAAAAAAATATATATCACATTCATGTATACATTGTTAAACTATTGGAGTAAATCAAAATGGTAATGGTAAGTTTTATTTCTTTTTTCTTTTCCTTTTTCTGAATATGAAGTTAAAATTTTTATTTTAATTGAGCCACTAAAAGTAAATTTATTCCATATCATTTGAAAAAATTATAGGAAGTTTGTATAGATTCAAAAAGAGCATACAGTCTAATGGTTTCTAAGTAGTAAACCATCAATCTCCAAACAAAATTAAAATGAATGGAGAATATTCTTAGAATTTAATAACTGTTTTT